AGCTGCACGCGCCCGGCGCCCTGCAGCAGCAGCACCAGCACCCGCCGCAGCAGCAGCACCAGCACCCGCCGCAGCAGCAGCACCAGCACCCGCCGCCGCCGCAGCAGCACCAGCAGCCTCCGCCGCCGCGGCCGCCGCACCTGGTGCACCACGCGGCCAGCCAGCACCCGGCGCCCGGCTGGCGGGGCGCGGCGGCCGCGGCGCACCTCGGGCCCTCCATGGGGGCGGCCAACGGCGGCCTGCTCTACTCGCAGCCTGGCTTCACCGTGAACGGCATGCTGGGCGCCGCGCAGCCGGCCGGGCTGCACCACCACGGCCTGCGGGACGCGCACGACGAGCCGCGCCGCGCCGAGCCGCACGCGCTGCCGCCGCCCGGCCACCCCGCACCGCACGACGCGCACTCGGACGAGGACACGCCGACGTCGGACGACCTGGAGCAGTTCGCCAAGCAGTTCAAGCAGCGGCGCATCAAGCTGGGCTTCACGCAGGCGGACGTGGGGCTGGCGCTCGGCACACTGTACGGGAACGTGTTCTCACAGACCACCATCTGCCGCTTCGAGGCCCTGCAGCTGAGCTTCAAGAACATGTGCAAGCTCAAGCCGCTGCTGAACAAGTGGCTGGAGGAGGCGGACTCGTCCTCTGGCAGCCCCACCAGCATAGACAAGATCGCGGCGCAGGGCCGCAAGCGGAAAAAGCGGACCTCCATCGAGGTGAGCGTCAAGGGCGCCCTGGAGAGCCACTTCCTCAAGTGCCCCAAGCCCTCGGCCCAGGAGATCACCTCCCTGGCGGACAGCCTGCAGTTGGAGAAGGAGGTGGTGCGGGTGTGGTTTTGTAACCGGAGACAGAAGGAGAAAAGGATGACCCCGCCCGGAGGGGCCCTGCCGGGCGCCGAGGACGTGTTCGGGGGCAGCAGGGACACGCCGCCGCACCACGCGGTGCCCACGCCGGTGCCGTGAGCCTGCGGCCCGCCCCGCGCCCCGCCCGCCGTCCTTCCGTTCTTGGCCACCATTCCCGTCCCTTCGGAGGAGAAGGGACGCTAAGGAGAGCGACCGCAGCACTGGACTGTCCTTTGAACGGTAGCAGGTGTCATGATATGTTTCGACCTTTTCGGCTGGTGCCCAGGCAATGGGGTGGAGTGTCTTAGAGAGAGAGAGAGAGAGAG